AAAAAATTATCTGTGATGTCTCAAAAATGCACAAAACAAAAGAATGCCAGCAGCCATCTCTGGAAATGAATAATGCTTATCTGGGTGCTTACTTGAAGCTTCTTTTCAAGGAGTCTCCCTAGTATCCCACTTTCACCCACAAAATGATCTATGGCTCTGGTTCATGCATGGAAATTCAAGAGCACAAGATCAGGTTATGAATTTGACAAATGAGAAGACAATCTTCAAGTGAAATATATTTACATATGATCAATTTTGCTAGAGTTTAAGAATCTGTAGTTTTGAGGCACCATGCAATTCTCTGTGCTGTATCGTAAACTCTAAAATATGTGGAATTTTCCCACCTAGTCTATCACGCCTACTTATAGACAGCTTGTTTTCTAAGCATGTGGGCTCATTTCTCAGGATTCCTTCAAACTTATTTCAAATGTTACCTGAGCCAACTACACAAAGCTTTAAACACACAGAACACCACCACTTCCTCTTCTAACTAAAACATGATGGTGGGTCAACCCTTGGCCATTTAGTTTAGAAAACAAAGAAATTTACTGCTATTAAACCTACAGATAGTTTTTTCCATGGTGGACCTGATGCACAGAGTCTTTCTTTGTTGTTTCATTTGTGATTTTGCAGGTTTCACTTGGATAAATACATTTGCAGTCATGATTTTGAAGACAACACAGTAAGAAAAAAATTAGCTCATTTCCCCTGTACAATATATTGGCATATCATTACTTAAAAGGGTTGGTGTAAATGCCTGCACCACAGTGATGATGCTGAGTTTTATTTTCAGTTCAAGATGGGGAGATTCCAAGGGCATACCAATTCAACTATAGACAGGTTTTGAGTCAATGTCATAAAATTTGTCACAAAATTATTTTGTAACACAGAAAGAGCAAGACATATTTTTTGTTTGTTTTGTTTTGAAAGGGAATAACAGTGTTTCTAAGTCTCTTTTGGAAAAAAATGATACTCTTTTAGGTTCACATTTGAAAGGATTATCAATACCATTGGCAAACACCAACAGAACAGAGTGATCCCTCTAGAAAGAGGTTAAGCAAATCATTAAGTTCTCCAATTTACAGGAGACAAGATCTAAATTCCAGTCTCAGGGTATTATATTCTCTGGTTCACCATGAGATCAGCAAACATAAGACATTAAAGTATGAGTGATTACTGACTAACACAGAATCTGCTATGTCATTTACGTGGAAACCAGATTTAGCCTCTAGGATTTTCCAGAGGACATTCTAGAGGAGGTTGCTGCCATTGACACCCAGGGAAGGCAATGTTTAAATTGTTCCCTTGAGATGAAAGTTTCTGTGCACTTCAGGCCTTTGGGACCAAAACCTACAAGGCATTTATGAATAGCTGATATGAGAATTTTAATAAAAGTTACAATAACTTGAAATGATGAAAATAGTGTTTTAAAAAATCTATGTACTACTAGTAACAATGCATGCAGAGTGCCAGGCATTCATAACTATTTGGTTATAAAAATATGTGACTGTAATTATGGTATTTACAATCAACTTATAAAAATACATGTAATTCTGAATGGCAATAGTTATCCCTAGCTCTAACCACAAGCCTGGAAGGACTAGAGGATTATTATGGGAAAGTGCATGGGTAATTACAAAATGGACAAAGCTCTAACCCTCTCAAATTCAACATTCAAGAATGGCTATTCTAGCATCATAGGAGTTTCATTTGTCAGAATTCTTCTAACCTCACAAGGTAAAATCCAAATTCTGTGAAAATAAATAGGGATCAAATGGGAAACGGACATTCACAGGATACAACCTTAGTGAAGAATAATTCTTTCACAGAATATTCATGCACAACTGTCAGAGAGGTTCACTATCCCTGGAAGAGTTCATGGGATGACATTTAAGCACACCTTTCATTAAAAAAAGTTAGGCATGGTCTGGATTAACCAAATCTTTCCATAATTTAGGTGAGTACCTCTTTGGAGCTTATTAACCATCATGGAGAGTGGAGTTCTTATGGCACTTTCTACTTCAAATTTGTATTCTGATGGAAGAAAACAAATTCACATTGCAGTTTAAATTCAGAAAAGATTTTTTTTTTTTACAAACTTTTAAAATCTCTCTCTTTAAGGGAAAAACACATTTCAGCAAAATACAATATTCTACATAGATGAGATACTTCCCACAGGTTCTTTTCTTCCAGGAGTTGATCGGTCATCTTCTAGCAGTAGGTAGGTTCCCAATTTGAACACCATCAGTCTTTCACAAATGGACAAAACGATGGCAGTAAACTTGAAAAACTAGGGAGAGTTGCACATAAGCTACCAAAAAAGGCAGAGGTTGGGCATTACCTGCAAGTCATGATCTCATATGTTAAGATGTATCTTGGCATTTAGTAATTGGATTTTTGGAAATCCAAATATCTGAGTTTGGGAGGTCGGATGATGCTTAGTTAGATTCTTTCCAGGTTTAAATTACTTCCTAGGACTGAGTTGGGGCATTTTGGGTGGTAAATGAACTCTTTCACAACAAGAAATTCCATTTCAAGAAATTATTGCTACAGTTCACTAAAGAGTACTGTGGTGTCCTGGTACAAAATGTCCCTTACAAAATTCCACCCCTCTAGTCACTTGAACAATGGGAAATTCACATTTATTTTACTCACTTTGGTCCTTGAAGTCAGAACCTAACAAAGAACTGTTTTCCCTCCTCCAAAAAGAGACTGTCTAGATGGAAGTACGGTATTGGAACTGCCTTGGTGGTTTGGCAGTCTATGCCACCATCCTCATATGTATTTGGCAACTGGCATGCTTGATTCTTTATAAATCAGCCTGTCAATCTTCTTTGTATGTGGAATTGTCTAAAGTAATCAAGAAAAAAAAAATGACCCAAATAGGCAAGCTTTTGAAAACTTGATAAATGAATGGAGAATGGCATACCTCAGAAAGAAATGGAGTAATAGTTAATGGAACTTCTCAGCTGATTGCTGCCATCTTTTGAAAGGGATGTAAAACAAATCTTCACAAATGGTGAGTAAACTATGAAAAAAGAATCCTCCTCGCTCCCCCCAAAGCCCAACTCTTTAGAAACTTCTACTTCAGATATGAGATCATGGTCTGTAGGTCTACTAGTGTCAAATACCATTTCATTCTAGAAGAGCCATTCAGGTTAGGGTTATCTGTGACATGAATTTAACAAATAATGTGAGAACAATAACTATATGTTTATCGCAATTATTTTCCATACTTGATCAATTGATACTCTGCCCATATGAACACAGTTGCGAAGACATGAATCATTTCTAATAGAAACTCAGTAACCTCAAGGTAGGACAAAACAAACTTCATTTGATAAAATAAAATTTGGTTAAATGATTTTCATTTTAGAGACCGTTCTTTCCCTTAATATCCTGGTAAACTCCTTATTTGGAAAAGTACACTAGTTTTGTTGTTTTGTCATTTCTTAATCTATCAACTTCATTTCCAAAGACCGCAACCAGAATGGAATGGTTTGTATCTCTTTTCTGAACTTAACAGAGTCCGAGAGGTTTTTTTGTTTTCCTAGATTTTAATATTTTAAATTCAATTAAAATATACAACCAAAGTTGGTGGGAAATAGTAGCTCTTCCAGGTAAAAGAGATTACTAAAAGATTTTAGAATCACTGGACATTGTTCAGTTCTACCTGAAAATTAACTTATTTTACTGCTTGGCATGGGAAAAGGCATTTTCTAGTAATTTTCTGTGACAGGAAACCCAGCATTAATCCAAGTAAGCACCCAACAGACTAAGTCTATCTGCTGGCGAGCAGTTTTAAATGTTAACTCAATGAAAACATTTACCTCAGTACTTTTTCTGAGAGAGAATTCAGCAGTTATAGTTAATATGCCACCTGGGGAGAGCTACAAACACCCTAGGCGGTGGGCCAACTGAGGAGCACTTTCCAGGTAACAAGAACAATGATATTGCAAGAAGCTACAAAACCATATTGCAGTAGTTATAGTGACCACTACTATAGTGATCATGGCCTGGGTCAATGTGCCAAATATTAATGCAAGGAGCGCACTAGACTTTATAGAATTAGAATATTTTCCTTACACTAAGGACCAGTTGATGGTGCGTGATGAGTGGTGATGATCCATTTATTGTTTCATTCTACGAACGCTTCCTAGTTAGATCTCCTTTCTCCTATGTTAATTATATTCCATGGCAGTATATTTTCATCATCTAAAATGAGAGCACTGGTATATGGCATACCCCAACTCTCTCAACACACACACACACACACACACACGTGCACCCTTATACACACATGTATTGGACAATATGTATAAAATGTTCATTTGCAGTGGGTAAGCTCTCTGAAAGTAGCCAAATCAGCCTTCCCAAATATAGAGAACCATTCAATGCCAATGAAAAGCCTTATCAACTGTTAAGCTCCAACATGAAATTTTAACCCTTGTCCATGTGATAATTGGCTTAAATGCATTTTGTGATTTTTGCTAGGTCATCCAAAGCAAGAATCTCAAAGACTGACATGATATGTAGAATCTAATGGACTCACATTTCTGTTTGTTTTGCTTTTCACACAGTTGGGTAATACTCTTGATGCTGAAACATGAGTTGATTTTGAATTGCCATTAATGCATCTATATTTAGCAAAGGCTGATTTGGCTTTCTAGAGAAATATCAGCTCATCTGCAAATGGACACCGTCTTCCACACAAACATCAATGTACACTAAAGACAAATCTAAGTATATGTATATATGGCATATATACATATATATGTACACATAAAATGGATTGGGAAGTCCTTTGGTTTAGACGGGATTAAATATGTACTTCCCAAGTGCATAGGTTTCCTTTGACCAACCTTTTCAAAACACAGATAAGTGTCATGGCAATTTTGACATTTCCTGTCACTTTCCCTATGTAGAGGCTCCCTTTCCTCTCCTCTCCCTTTTTCTGAAGCATTTTATTTTTGACTGTGGTTAGAACTTTTGGCTTTCAACACTCCATTGATTTGTCCATTCCTTGGAAGAGCTCTAAGATCACATCAACAAACTTATCTTTACCGGAGAACAAGGTTGCAAAGAACATTTCCCTCTTCTTTGATGCTCTCTTCCCCCCAAGAAGCGGACACCTTGATGTGTCATGAACAATTCACTCTTGATCTGACTTTCCTTGTTACCCCTGGCCAGCCCAAGCAGCTGAGGTCTGAGCTTTACTCTCCCTGCATCGTTGTGCAATACTGGAAAAGAAAAATAATCCATTTGTCTACACCCTTCAGACTGTGGTGACATGATCAGGGTTCTCTTGAATTTCTATGCATTCAATTTCCTCTCTCTCCTTTCGTTTGGCACGTTTCTTTTTCTTGTGGTGCTTTTTGGAAGGGGGGAAGAAGGTTAGGAACACAGGTAAGATAACAAAACAGTGCAGAAGTGTGCAACCCCCAGTGAGCAGCAAGCATTTGAACAGTGTGAAGGTCAGGTTCGAAGGCACAAATAGGAGGGGGACCAACCCAATAAGAAAAGAAGTAACATTTTGCAAAATGGCTGTCCCATGCTCTTGTAGGGAGCTTTTTATACATTGTGTTCGGGTGTGCTCAGTTGCTAATACAAATGTGTAAAGCAGTGGTGCACAGTGGTCAATGGCAAAATTTAAAGTGTAGATAAGGCACAAGATAGAAATGCAATCCATGTCGACGTTCCATAATGTCATTAAGCCCAGAACGCCCAGCTCAATTGAGGTGACACTAAGAATTAGCCAGAAGTTTCCCAGAGGGTGGATCACCAGGAAAAAAGTCAGGATTAACACCAGGAGAACACCAAAGCCTGCAATCAGAACAGGCACCGTGACAGACAAGCCATAATGATCCATGAACACAAAGGAGGGGTTGAACACGATAAATCGGATGCTCTTTGATAGGGACAGGGGCCTCAATTTTTCCAACACTTCTATGACTTCCTTCTGCTTGTCTCTGCTAGTCCTGGCCACCAGGTACAAGCGAGAAGCAATGATGTTGTTTTCATCCCCTGCCTTGGAGAAGATGATATCGTTTCGAAAATGCTGGAATTCTGGCTTTTTTAAAAATGAACCTTGTAGGCCACTGATAAAGTCACTCTTGTTATTGGCACTGATGTTGCTAACTTTCAGGAACTGGTAATACTGCTCCACCCAGGACACTGCCGTGAACCCACTGCAGAGTCTCCGTAGATCCTCCTGGACGCTGCTGTTCCAGTACTCCAGGGGCTCGTAGATGTAGAATCCTATCACTGGGCTGTAGTTGCTGAAATATTTTTGCTGAACCATGGCATAGGAAATGCTTGGGGAGTCGCTGGCTAGTAGATTGATGATGTTGGCTCTGTCACTGATCTGCAAGCACCCCATGAAGGAGAAGGAGGCATAGATGAGATAGAGGATGACAACAAATGGCTTCACGTAGATATTGGTAATCCATTCATTATAATGCTCACGGAGGAAGTGCTGAATAAAATGGTGCTGGTAGGGGTTCGTCTCGTGATGGGATGTCTGTTGATGCCCATCACTCATCACTGTCTGGAACCACACAGGTTTGCGGTCCAGGTATTCCGCAGAGGGGATCTTACAGCAAAAGATGCTGTGGTAGCGGTTTTGCTCGAGTTGGCCGGCGAAGACCAGACAGGAGCCAAAGAATGAGAAAATGTAGAAGTAGTTCAACAGAATGGAGACACACATGTTCTGACAGAAGACCTTCACAGCCTCCATGTTTGTGAATGGGCTGGCACCCATGCCAAACGTAATGAAGTACAAGGAGCTGGTCATGGTATAGGTGACCATCACATCAGAATAGGCATCTGCTACCCTGTCTTTGAAGGGCAAATTCTCTCTTGTTCTCCTCCATCCAGACAGAAGCTCAAATACTCCTTTAGTTCCATGACCTAGTTTTTTAAAAAAAGAAAGAGAATAATCGTTTTATTATCTATTATCTATGCTAAGCAGTGCTTTAGACTCCAATCTGCAAAATGCTATGATCCTCCTACCAGGGTCTCAAAATTTGAGTCACACAGTGGGATATATTTAGGTCTGTGTCCACTTTAGCAAAATCCAAATTAATTGGTATTCTGGGTAAAATGAAATCCGTGTTGTCTGTCTTATTAATTCGACAAGTCGTAAATAAAATTGACATTATGTGATTTTTTTTCTCCCCCTGCACACATGTTGTCTCCCTAAGCGGGTCATAAGTTGTGAATGGTAGGGGCTGTTATTCATGCATTTTCAAATGCCCCTCAACGCCAGTTGAGTGCTTGATCAACTGACGCATTGACTGATAGTCCCGATTCTCCTTTTTAAGCTGACTTACATGCTGATTTAGAAAATCATAAGATGATTTTAAACACTTAAAAATCACTTTACATTGATTTTACAATGTTAATAATCCACTTGGTGGCCAAGTGGCTTAGAAACCAATTCCTATAGATAGGATTAATTAACACTGGATGTGAGTTGAAAAAAATCTGCCAGATCACATAAAAGAATGGGCAAAACCTTCAGGGTGAGAGATCACAGCAAGCATTTCCTTTGGGCTCCTCCCAGAGCTTTTATTCACACAGTATGGATGCTGACTAACATTTGCTTCATTAAAGTGGATGGGGAATGGTTCTTTTTAATCAACTTCTGTGCACTCTTTAATAAGGGTAAATAAGCAAAAGCTTCATTCAACAAATATTACTTGAGCACCTGCTATGTACCAGATACAGTTAGATACTGAACTGATCCCCCCGCCCCAGGAACTTAACAGCTTTTAAGATACTACCACTTGCTTCCTTATCAGCAAAAGCAGAAAGCAGTTGGGAAAGTAAAGGTATTATTCCACATCTTCAATTTCCCTCTTTTCACTTCCCTGAATTAGCTCTGTCAATTACCAACCACAATGTATCAATTGGTAACTTTCTGAGTGAAAATCTTCATAGATCACTCTTGCCCTTGTAGGCAAAGCAATACTACACACAAACCTTTTCTATGAATGGATACAAGCTGTTTGGGCTCTTCTCCAAGAAACCCATTAGAAAAAAATGTAGCTAAAAGGCACAAAATGACCTAGTTCAAGAAAACTTGGAAAATGGACTTTGTGTGGCACCTAGATATTGGAGCAATTCACTCAGTAATGCTTTAACAAACATATTATAATGGCTGGGGTCTTATTATAATCACTGATTTGGTGATGTTGATAGAGTTGCTAATTGACCTACATAATTTTCCCCCTTCTTTGTTACTTTTATTTGGGACTGCAATGGGCACAATTAAAAACTGTTTCTCAGCCTACCTTTCAACTAGAGGTGGCTCATGTGACATATTTCTGGGTAATGTAACTGATAGTCGCCTAAGGATGCTTATTCGAAAACCAGAAGGAACTTTGCCCTAAATGGCATCATGGAGCCACCAATAGGAGCCACAGTCTACCATCCTCTCTAAGTCTCCTTAAAGAGAGCCAAATCTCCATTTGTCTAAGCCACTGTAAGTAAGGTTATTACATGCAGCTGAACCTATTCCTAACCAACAAAGTTTTGTAGGTGAGTTAACATTACTGAAACCTTTTTTTATGATGTTTAAATATATATAATGCTAATCTTTGACTTCAAAGATACATGAGTTCACCTATCTTGGGAATTTTTATTAATTATTCATTGTTACTGCATTGGAATTCTTCTTATCCTAAATATAAAGCCTATTGAGTCTCCAAAGTTCTCTCTTCTGAGTCCCCAGTCAGAAAAGATAAGTTTATCCTAGCAAGAAGAAAAGGTTAGGCAAATTGCATTTAAGTATAAGGTAAGTTTTTTTGTGTGTGTGGGGGGGTCTTTTGGAGGCAATGATCTATTACTTCTTGCATTTAATTACTAGCTCAACATATATGTGTATTAAGTCTAATGATTATTTTTTTGAGTCTAATGATTCTTAACATTAATTCTTCATTTTTCTCTTCTGCAAGACTCCTTGACCAAATAGAATACTTGTTCTTTCATTCCCTTGACAAAAACATATTAGGATATTAGCTGAAGTAATTAAAATAATTCTTTAATTAGAGCACTTCTCTTCTGAAATGAGGACTCTTGCTATCTTTGTAGTCATAAGGAGGGAAAAGGCTATGTGGGGCTGCAGCTAAATTTGGCTTTCCTTTGCTAATGGTCACTTTTATGGAATAGTAGGTACACTATGTAGGCCAGATTGTTGCTTTATATAGTACAAAGGTCTGTGTGGGAAGATGATGCTAAACTGTATTAGGTTAAATAACCACTCTAAGTGTGATGAAGACTGAACACATAATTTCCAAACTTTGGAGAGGGCATATTTTATCCCATTCATAGGTTTAGATATTTTATAGTCCATTCCTACTGATATTCACTCATTTGATTCTCACCATAATCTAGCTAATTCCTAGCAGTTCAGATCTATTACCTGCTGCATCCACAGTGGTCTTTCCTCTCCCCATGAACCTGCCCATGATCAGTCTTATCTTCTTAGTTTTATTCATGCTATTTTCTCTGCCTTACAATACCTTCTTCTCATTGCTGGTCACATGGAAATTCTGTCCACCCGTGTGTTAAGCATCAGCTCAATTCTCTAATTTGCTGGGAAGCCATCTCTGACAATTCCAGACATACTGATTTTTTTTTCTATTCCTTAAGGTCTTACTGCACTAATTAGTTACTCATTTTGGCACACAACCATGTGCTCTTTTGCTCTGGAACAAAATGGTTTTCTTAGGATATGTTCTATTTCTTTGGTTAGACTGCAAATTCTTCAAGGTCAGGGAATACATTTTATGTTCCTTTTATACTCTGCAGAACATCTGGCAAAGTGCTAGATGCCCAGAAGATGCCCACTAATCTCTAATTGAATTCAATCAATTCTTGATTCTAGGTGGGTTGAAAAAATGTATCTTTTAATTACTTTTTCTAAAATTTATTATGCATTTTTATATCTCCAGAAGTTATACACTTTTAATTCAATGCAACACAATATGTATTTTGATTTGTTATACTCAAGGACCCATGCTAGTCAACATAAAAAACATAAAGGTAAACAAGAAACACAATATTTTCCAATGTCTGTCAGAGCAGAAGGCCATTTTTACTTGGGTAATTTTGAGAGATTATAGCTTCTAATACACATGAATTTTAGAAGCAGTCCCAAGGGTGTTCACAAGCATTCCTGTCTTCTACTAACTAGATGCCAGTAGCACACTCCACAGTTGTGACTACCAAATATGTCTCCAGACATTGCCAAATGCTGACTGGGGGATAAATTGCCCCCAGTTGAGAATTACTGGTGTAGTCAAAAGAAAAAAAGATAGCATGCATGTGCTATCTTTTTTATAATAGAATAGAACATATCCTAAGAAAACCATTTTGTTCCAGAGCAAAAGAGCACACACATATTTGAATCTTTTTTATAATAGAATAGAACATATCCTAAGAAGACCATTTTGTTCCAGAGCAAAAGAGCACACACATATTTGAATCACCTTTTTCTGGCTATAAAAACAGGACATATTTCCATAAAAAATTTGGGAAAGATGGAAAAAATAATGGTGAAAAATTATTTCATAGTCCTACAACACTGATAATTGCTGTTAACAATTTTGTGTATTTCTTTCAGTTTTGTATGTACGTATTAAACTTTTCCATCCATCCATCCATCCGTCCATCCATCCATCCATCCATCCAGATTGGTAACTACTTAATTATTTCATGAAACAGAGCTCCTGTAAGGAGATATTAGAATCTGGGATTTCTCTTGCTGCTGTTCAGTTGGCTCTCATCAACCACGGAGAACCTGCTTTCTAGCCTCTGCAGTATTTTCTCTCTTGGTTTCTTGCTTTTTACTTTGGTTTCCATTCTGAGGCTGATACCATGTTTTTAATATCTGCTCACTTGAAAAAAGCCCTAACTCTCTACCATACCTTTTTAGAATGGTATATGCACTCTTTTCCACCATTACTGAGGGTCCTATTCCAATTCAGACAAGACACCTGAAATCAAGACATTGGTATTCACCCAAAAGGAAGTGACCCACCATCTTAGATGATGATTATAGAACACGTATGAGTGTGACTTGCCCCACTGAACAATGACCTGAACTGATTCCATTATATTTTCTCCTTGCTCCTGATAGTTCTTTGCTTCTGTCCCATTTCTACCAAAATCCTTAATCCTAACCTAAGGCCTCAGTTTGTCTTATAAACAACTCTGTTCAAATTGCTGACTGGTGAGACACATATATATCAGCAATTAACTGACATATAAAGAATAATTGCATTCTTTCTAAGTAGAGATGAATGGTACGGACTATGAAAAGATACCTACTTCTTTCTGAGGGATCAGGGAAAGCGCTACAAGTTTCCTATAGGCAGGGGATGATGCGGTCTAGACTGATGGAATAACATGAATTAAGGCATAAATTCATCTGTAAATTAAGAGGAGGTAGTTGTGGCTTTCATATTTATAATTGATATTTTTCTCTGAGCAGAGATTATCTTGTTTGGTATAGCAGGTTAAGCCATTGTTGGAAATATGCATTTAATACTCCAGAAGATGACTGCCAAACTTTGATCATGATTTCCTTCCATTATATTAATATATATTTGCAAAAACTATATTAGAATGCCATAATAAATGGCTCAACTGGGACATTATTGGATAACTAATCTTTCTCTTGGCAAAGTTTCACGAAGGAATAGAAAGGGAACTCTCACGAGTAAAAATGCTTTGGACAGAGTTGGAACTGGGAGAAAAATTCAATGTGGGAAAGGAATCAAAATTAAAAGATTTGTGTGTGTATGTGTGTGTACTGAATATTCTAAAAATCTTCAGGGATGCTGTTGGGAGACCTCTTTCCAAGTGAAAGCAAATGGAAGCACTGTTCAATAACAAGCGAAACT